CCCCACGGGGCGACCTCCGCGCTTGGGCCCCGGCCGCGCCAATGGAGGCTTCGGGAAGCCGCCTTTCGGTTAAACCGACCGGCCGCGGTGGCCACCGGCCTTTCCGGGTGTTCGCTGGCCGCGCTCCAGTGGCGGCTTCCCTCCACTGTCGCCCGGGGGAGGCTCTCCTCCTCCCGCCCTCGGTCCTTACCTGGCATTTCCCACTCGAGGACGCCCTCCTTTCTTCCATCTTAGTTGGGCTTTTTTGTCTGTCCCTCCGGCTCTCGGTTTAAAAAGTCCTTCAAGTTTCCACGGCCGCCCTGTAGGGCACAAAGGAGCGATTGTTATACAGAAGCGCTTTTCTCTTTGTTTTGCTTTCCCTCCACTTAACTGCCGTTGAATTTTTACACGCCCTGCCTTTGCCAGTCGCACTTTTTAAGTTCCGCAAGGGCGAGGCCAGAGCGTTTCTTTTGTCTCTTCCATAACCAGTGGTGCAAGGCCTGGGGAACAGGCTTGCCGTGCCGCACGGCGCACAGAGTGGGCCTTGCACACTACTCAGCGTGTTTACCAGTGACCCTTGAGTCACCCTTGGAATTGCATGGAAGTTTCCCCTAGACGTACTGTAAAGACAGACAGGCCTCTTGCAGGACTTAAGTCTGTCCCGCAGCAGATCTGGTCCGCCAGATTGGAGATCCCTTAGTTAACCATGAGAGGGACACCCGGCTAGATCATGCACTTTGATTCTCTGTTTTGTCAAACACACTCTAAACTTAATCAGGCTGAATTGTCTACAAACTTATAAAAGTAAAAGCCTGGGATTTAGTCCTGTCACTTGGCAGACTGAAGCAGAAGTATCAAACGCTGAAAGCTAGTCAGGGCTACACAGTCAAGTCCAGGCCACCTTGGGCTACATAGCCAGACCGCATCTCAAAAAAAAAGAAAGAAAAAGTGTTGCTCTTTTTCTCTATAATTAAAAAACATATTATGTTCTTGAAACTTTTAGGTAGAAATAGAATTTAATTTCTACACAGGGGCCATCCTGTGCTGATTGTGCCTAAGCTAGGCCTGGTGGTGCATGTCTATAATTACAACACTTGGGAAATGCAGGCAAAATGATCAAAAATTGTCAGCCAGGCAGTGGTGGCACAGGCCTTTAATCACAGCGCTGGGGAGGTAGAGGCAGGTGGATCTCCAAGTTCCAGGCCAATCTGGTCTATAGCGCTATTTCCAGGACCATGAAAGCTACACAAAGAAACCTTGTCTGGGGGAGGGGGGGAGGGGACAGTGTCATCTTTAGCTATTTAAGTTCAAAGCCAATCTGGGCTACCTGAGACAAAAACCAAGGACACTGAAATGTTAAGCTATACCTACTGCTCAGTGTTCTGGCAGTCAAGCTATGGTTGGCCCTGTCTTTTTCCTGTGCATCTGAAACTTGGAGGCACAGAAATTTTAAGTCTACCCTATTTGGCAAATATAACTTAGCCAGTTAATAAAAAGATTTGGTTGGTTGGTTGGCTGTTTTTGTTTGTTTTGGTTGTTTGGGTTTTGGTTTTGTTTTTGAGACCAGGTCTCTCTATGTAGCCCTGGCTGTCCTGGAACTCAATATATAGACCAGGCTGGCTGAGATCCTCCTGCCTCTGCCTCCTGAGGACTGGGATTAAAGGCGTGCGCCACCACACCCTGATTAAATCATTTTTAAAAAGCATTTTACCTTACTCTGGAGTAGTGAGAAAATAGGAAATATTAATATCTATGAAATGATTTGAGTTGAAATCAGTGATATAGTACAGTCTGGTAATTCTCATTAGTGGAGGTGGTAGGGGACCTTCAAAATGGCTCCAAAATAAACCACAAACTAGAATTTAAACTCCTGTTCAAAAATGGAATATAACTATAGGGGTTTACAAGTTCATAAACGGGATTATTAGTCCTTTAATCAGGTAGCATACAATTTTATTATTATGGTTCTATGTGCTCTCAGATATTTCCATTTTTAAATAGCAATGACATGTAAATAATCTCTAACTCCATAAAAATTAAACTGTAGCTGTATGTGGTGGTGGATACATTTGATCCCAGTACTCAGGAGAGAGTGGTCAGCAGATCTCAGTGAGTTTGAAGCCATCAGGGCTACATAGCTACAAAACCCCACTAAACTAAAAAGGTTTGTATAGCTGATAATACTAGATGTTTTTATAACAACCATTCTTAGAACATTGTTCTTTTCAGTAATGAATGTGACATACAATTTTAGATGCACAGAAGGAACCATAGTTTTTTGGTTTTTGTTGTTGTTTGTTTTTTGTTTTGTTTTGTTGTTTTTGTTTTTAGAGGCAGAGTTTCTCTGTGTAACATTCCTGGTTGTCCTGGAACTCGCTTTGTAGACCAGGCTGTCCTGGAACTCACTGAGATCCACGTGCCTCTGCCTCCCAAGTGCTGGGATTAAAGGTGTGCACCACCATCACCCAGCTGAATCCACAGTTTTATATCCAAGAGGTTTTCAGACTTGTAGAGCTCAATGGGGCAGCAGATCCTCTTCATCCTGTTTACTCTACGCCCAAAGAAGCTAAGACCTTCATGCCCACACCAGCACTACCTGTTCCTCTGTGCTGTCCTTGACTAAACTGAAAAGGGAAACAGGTTTTTCAGTGCTCAGAGAACCATTCGTTTTGTTTTGTTTTGGTTTGGTTTGGTTTTTTTTTGGTTTTTCGAGACAGGGTTTCTCTGTGTAGCTTTGCGCCTTTCCTGGGACTCACTTGGTAGCCCAGGCTGGCCTCGAACTCACAGAGATCCGCCTGCCTCTGCCTCCCGAGTGCTGGGATTAAAGGCGTGCGCCACCACCGCCCAGCTCGTTTTTTAAACATAGTTACCACTCCACATTTTATTTTACCACTTAAAAACTCTAAATGGTGACTTAATTATAGTGAGTTTTTACTTTATATGTGTGTGTTTATTTATACACATGGAAACATATATATTGTTTATATATTATATGTTTGTATTATATATAAATTGATGTATATGACATGAGAGAGCAAACCTAGGACCTTGTACCTTTCCCCGGAACTGTATCATAGCCTCACTTCATTCATATATAAGTGTGTATTCAAACATATATATATATATATATATATATATTTTTTTTTTTTCTTCTTGGTTGCTTACTTTTCAGATAGGATCTCACCGTGTAATAGTGGTCAGTGGTCCAGAACTAGCTATGTAGCCCGGGTTGGCCTCAGACTCAACATTCACCTGTCTCTGGCTCCTGAGTGCTGAGTAAAGAACTTAGAAGGTGGGTGCTGAAGATAGAGCTTGGTGGAGATAGCTCAGCAGTTAAGAGCAGTTGGTCCCAAAAGACCCAAGTTCAATTCCCAGTACCCACATTGGATAGTTCACAGCTGCTTATAACTCCAGCTCTAGAGGATCTGAAATCCTCTTCTGGCCTCTACAAGCACTCAACGTACATACATGCACATAAATAAAAATAAATCTTTCAAAAGGAATATTCTTTCAAAAGGTGATATAAGACTACTAGAGAAGCCCTTCCAATTATAACTACCACCAGAATTGTCTGTCATCTACCAGATGACTATGGTATAGAAAAGTACAAGAGATAGCCAACATGAGAGAGTATAGAACCATCTATAATTCCAGCCTTTGGGACCAAAAGTTCAAGGCAGCCTCAGATACGTAAGAGAGTTTAAGGCTAGCCTGGGTTACAAGAGATCTTCTCTCACCATTCTTCAAAGGGACTGTTAACTAGAGTTGGCCAATACAATAGCCACTAGCCACATGTAGCTATTTTAATCTAAATTAATGGAAACAAAAGGCAAAATTCACTCTTCAGTCACTCTAAGCACTTTTCAATATCCTTCATAACCAATAGCCTTGTACTATGTAATATAGAATATTTCCATCCCAGGCTTCCTCAGGACAGCAGTTAGACCAATGATCCAGCTATACATAGCTGTGACTCAACACTTGATGTTAACCAAAAGGGTGAGAAGCAGTTAGATGTGACTCTATTGATAGGCTACATGGGAAATTGGCCCCAGGAACAGGGAGAAAAGTGTGTCAGATACATAGATAGACAAATATGTATATATCTGAAGAACAGCATATGTCTCTGCAATTTCCACTTTATCTATGTAACAAATATTGACTGAACATTTGCTGTGTGTCCAATACTGTACTGGATGCAGCCAAAACAGATGTGCACAACACAGAGCCAGCTCGAGGCATGCTGTAACAAAGATGCCGTGAGGACAGCCACACAGAAGCCAGGCCTCTTGACCAGCTGCATAGTTTCCATGGTGTAGGTTTGTACACACGCTCGCCCCGCATGAACATCCACAGGCTCAAAACCAAAACTCGATCAAACCTCACAACACCCTCATGAAGCCAGTTGTAAGCAGTAATTAGCCAAGATCATATACATTCGTTATTCTGTATGTGGATTTCTGCTAGCTGGTCATTATGTAAGTGCTTCATCGAAAGCTGGGGGAGAGGGGTTACTGGTGTTGCTCAGTAGTTAGGCATGCTGAGTTCAGTGGCACAGACAAGCTGCCTGGGGCTTAGGAGGTGAGATTGAACTCTGGCCTAATTGCCAAGGCACTGGGTACCCTCACACCTGTGGAGCTCCTTTCTTCTCCGGCACTCCATCCAATCACACCAATCACACTCTATAGAAATGACTCGTAAGTGCTTTGTCCCCGTCGATTAATTTGTGATTATTACCAGGTGTAATTGAGGACCTGCTGTGTACCAGCCACTCTGCTAGGCATTTTATACAAAACAGCTCTGATTTTCATGGCAATCTACAAGACAGGAAATAT